TTTTTTGTATTTTTAGTAGAGACAAGGTTTCACCATGTTGGCCAGGCTGGTCTCAAACTCCTGACCTCAGGTGATCCACCTGCCTCGGCCTCCCAAAATGCTTGGATTACAGGTGGGAACCACCGCACCTGGCCAAATTTATGTTCTTTTAAATCACCTAGTCTACAATATTCCTTTATATGTTACAGCAGCACAATGCAGACTAAGACACGAAGTACTGAGAATAGTCAAATTCAGAGACAGAAAGTAGCACTGAGGTTTACCAGGGGCTGGGGGAGGAGGGAATTACAGGGAGTTCGTGTTTAATGGGTACAGAGTTTCCATTTGAAAAGATGAGAAAGTTCTGGAGATGGGTGGCGGTGCTGATTGCACAGCAATGTGAATGCACTTAGCGTCACTGAATTGGACGCTTTAACATGCTTAACATGGGGAATTTTATGTTATATTTATTTTACCACAATATAAAAAGAGGAAGAGAGTTAGGTATAAGGCCCAAAGTGCCAAGTCAGACTGAACTGAGTATCACTCCCCAGAATGGGATGGTCATTTATTTTTCACCTATTCATTCACCAGCAAATACTGACACCATGATATACCAAGGACTGTTCTGGGCACTGGAAATCTGACATCAAAGCAAACAGACAAAACTCCCTGACCCGGCAGAGCCTACAGTCCAACGGCAACCACCAGTGAACCAAGTCAATGCCTCGCATGGCAGCCGCTGACACCTGCTCCAGAGAACAGCAGAGGGAGGGCTATTCATCTTTAGCTTTCAAATCTGTTTAGTAAAGACAGTTTTACTCATATAAAACAAAAGTTTACAACAATCTGGCCGGGTGTGGTGGCTCACGTCTGTAATCCCAGCACTTTGGGAGGCTGAGGCAGGCGGAACACCTGAGGTCAGGAGTTCAAGACCAGCCTGGCCAATGTGGTGAAACCCCATCTCTACTAAAAAATTTTAAAATTAGCCGGCACGATGGTGAGTGCCTGTAATCCCTACTCGGGAGGCTGAGACAGGACAATCTCTTGAACCTGGGAGATGGGGGTTGCAGTGAGCCGCCGAGATTGCACCACTGCACTCCAGCCTGGGCAGCTGAGTGAGACTCCCATCTCAAAAAAATCAAACAAACAAGAAAACCCAGGCCGAGACGATGGGAGCTTGACAAAGGAGGACGGTGGCTGGTGAGGAGGGCTCAACTCTGGGTGTGTGTCAGAGGAGGTGGCATGGGGTTTTCTGATGGCTTGGGTGTGGATGAGAGAAAGAGGAGTCAAGGAGGACTCCAAAGCCCTTGGCTTTTGTCTTGAGAATGTGGAAGGACGAGGCTGCTCAGTTACTGAGATGGGGAAGACAGAAAGAGGTGCCAGTCTGGGGAGAGACGAATCAAAATGCACTTTTGAACATATCAAGTTTCACCCAGCAGTCCAGCCTGGGCCTCAGTGTCCTCACCCCTCCCTGCCCTCTTCCCTTGGAAGCATGCGTCTACCCTGTTCCTCCCAACCTGGCATCTCCAGATTTCCAGTGCTTAGCAGGACTTGGGGTGTGGCCGCCAAGTTCCCATTACGTGTTTGGAGCCCGAGGAGGGCCCACTACTTTGAAATGAAAGCACTTCCCTATCTGCCCCGCAGGGCCTTTGCCAACTGCTCCATGTTAGTTAAGTGCTTACTGCATACACTTTGGGGATGAGGGTTTCTCTTAGCTGTGAGACTCGGAGGCAGGTTAGCAGTGGAGGCAGTTAGCTCATAATTCCTGCAGAGGTACAAGTACCAAATCAAGTGCTATGATCCCTAAAGAGGCAGCCTCACCCCCGGGGGCCTGGGGCCTGGGTCCAGATCCTCACTCTGCCTCTGACTAGCCATGTTGGAGGGTCGCTCAGCCTCTCCTGTCTGTTTCCTGATTTATTTATTTAGAGACGGAGTCTCGCTCTGTGGCCCAGGCTGGAGTGCAGTGGCACGATCTCAGCTCATTGCACCCTCCACCTTCCAGGTTCAATTGATTCTCCTGCCTCAGCCTCCCAAGTAGCCGGGACTATAGGTGCGCACCACCGCACCCAGCTCATTTGTTTTGTATTTTTAGTAGAGATGGAGTTTCATCGTGTTAGCCAGGAAGGTCTCGATCTCCTGACCTTGTGATCCACCCACTTCAGCTTCCTAAAGTGCTGAGATTACAGGCGTGAGCCAGTTTTCTGATTTATATAACAGGGATAACGTTGGTCAGCTTCCTTTGACCCACCATTTATTAAGTTGATTGACATGAATAAAGGATTTAGAATAGGGTCTAAATAGGGCGGTGCTGGGCCCACAGACAGTGGCCAATGAGTATTGTTTGTCACCATGGTCTTCGTCACCATTGCTTCCATCATCATTGTCACCATCATCAGGGTGCAGAGGAAAGGGGGGTGTGGGGGGTCGTGTTGTACCAAGAGGTGGGTCCAGAGTTAAAAAACGTCGAAGCAGAGCAGGAGCTGTGTGTGACGGCATCAACAGCAGGCACTTTCCTCTGTTTTTACATGCATGACAACGGGCTAGCAGAAAAAGTGAGAGCTGGGCATCAGCCAAAGTGAAAACTGTGCATGGAAACACAGAAAAAAGGACTCGCGATACTTACGAGCCCATGAAATACAGAAATAGTTAAGGATTGGAGTTCCAGTAAAAGCGCATCCCAGTCCTACTGTGCGCTGCTTTCCGGAGTGATGAGACTCCCCTTCTCCCCTCCACCTCGCCGTCTCTGCCTGCCTCCCACCCTCCTAGCTCCCCAAACTCTCCATGGAGTGTTTAGGCCCTAACAACCCTGGAGAGCTATTATGATCTATCAGGTGAGAATAATTTACTTTACAAAGTGGTGTGTGTGATTTTCACCGTTGACTGTAATCGCAACAGAAAATCATTGCAGTCGGCTGAGTGCATAATCTGTGTGTGCTCAACTTCTCCAAGCTCGGATTTACACAATGGAGGAAAATAGCCCCCGGGACCCACTCGGCACCGAGGAGTAAACAGCATGCATTTCGTAAATGGGCTGGGTGTGCGCCAGAACCATCACCAGGGACCCACTGCTGTCAGCCTAAAAGGCCATCGAACACTCAGAAACCATCTTCACAAATCCTTCTACAGTGAGGCGTGGGGTGGGAAGTCAGGGGTCACGCACCTCACCGTCAAAGACACTGTGGATGTCCTGCTCATCTGCCACCAGCCAGCGCCACGAGAAAAGGAGAGCAGACAGGGCAAGGAGGCACATGTCCTTCCTTGTCCATCACATCTGCAGACTGCGCCCAAGCATTGGGAACCAACAGAGCTCATCGGGAGCCAGGCAGCTGGGCAGCAAATGGGATGCCATCTGTGCCCCCTTGCTAACTGACGTGGTCCCAGGGTTGTGGTCTTGGACAGAAGCACCATTGTGGTTGCACTGGCTGGGTGTGTGAAAATGCTGCAGGACCTCCCTGGTTCCTTGCCCCCTTCTCTCCATTCCCCATGGATGAGTCCCGGGATCCTCAGGGGAGAGTTAGCCAGCCCCGGGGGTTCTGTGCTCTTCAACTTCATCCTGGAAACCCAGCTGTCATCTGTGAGGAGAGGCTGCTCTGTCCCCTCAGAGCACAGGGCTGCACCCAAGGCAGCTCGGGCGGGCCTCCTCTCCAGTTCCATCCCAGGTGACTCAGAAGCATGGCACGTGGGCAAATGTCCCACCTCCAAGCTCTTGTGGCTGTAGGGCAGGGGCTGAGCTGGAAGCATCAGTGACATCAGGAAGAACATTCAGAATCTCTCTCCCATGTGTCAACTGCTCACCACGTCCACCATCCACTCCCGGGCCCAGACCACCACCATAGCTTGCCTGGATTGTTGTTAGGACCTCCTGACCTCATGGCAGCTTCCAGTCTCACCCATGACAGCCGCCCCATTTCCTGCACAGAAGCCTGCAATCTTTTTTTTTTTTTTTTAAACTGAGTCTCACTCTGTTGCCAGGCTGGAGTGCAGTGGTGTGATCTTGGCTCACTGCAACCTCTGCCTCCTAGGTTCAAGTGATTCTCCTGCCTCAGCCTCCCAAGTAGCTGGGACTACAGGTGCACGCCATTGCACCCGGCTAATTTTTTGTATTTTAGTAGAGATGGGGTTTCACCATGTTAGTCGGGATGGTCTCGATCTCCTGACTTCATGATCTGCCCACCTCAGCCTCCCGAAGTGCTGGGATTACAGGCATGAGCTACCACACCCGGTCCAGCCCACAATCTTTTAAAGACATACATCATACCTTGATGTTCTTCCTCACATTCTCCAGGGCCCCCTGGACCACTGCTCTCAGGATAAAATCAAAACCCTTCACAGTGCATGAGGGTCTGGACGATCTGGTTCCTACCTCTCCTTCCCCTCATTCCCTTGCTCACCAGGTTGCAGCCACACTTGCCTCCTTTCCACCAAACCTCCCAAGCCCTTTCCCGCCCCAGGTCCTTTGCACCTGCTGTTAGAAGCACTCAAAGCTCGTGGCTCATGCCTGTAATCCTAGCACTCTGGGAGGCTGAGATGTGAGGACTGCTTGAGGACAGGAGGCTGAGAACAGCCTGGTCAACATAGTAGGACCTCATCTCTATTTTTTAAATTATATATTTAAATTTTTTCTAAAAAAAAAAAAAAAGAAGCACTCTGGCCAGGCGCAGTGGCTCACGCCTATAATCCCAGCACTTTGGGAAGCCAAGGCAGGCGGATTGCTTGAGCTCAGGAGTTCGAGAACAGCCTGGGCAACACGGTGAAACCCTGTCTCTACTTAAAAAACACAAAAAATAAGCCAGGCACGACAGCGTGCACCTGTAGTCCCTGCTACTCAAGAGGCTGAGGCAGGAGAATTGCAAGAACCCAGAAGGCAGAGGTTGCAGTGAGCCGAGATCGCACCACTGCACTCCAGCCTGGGTGACAGAGTGAGACTCCACGTCAAAAAAAAGTAGCACTCTAAGCTGCCCAACACCCGTCCACACCACACAACCCCCCATCTGCCGCTGCCCTGCCCTCTCCGTCACACCGCTGCATTCGTTCCCTCCTAGCAGCTTCTCTGCAGTGGTCATGTCTACGTGTACATTGCTCCCAACCAGAAGCACATCTCCTTGAGCATAGGCACCTGTTCTGTCTTGTCCCCACCATTTCACCAGGGTCCAAGGCAGTGTCCAAGAAACAGTCCAAGCTCAATAAACACTTGTCAAGTGAATAAAGACCCGAAAGCTGATCATATTTTGTCACCTTTATGATCCTTACCATTGTCTGACGGAAGCCTGCTACGAGTGATGAGGCTGGATGTGGCTCTCCTGTGATGAGAATGTAAATTCAGGAGACCAGAAGCTTCACCTCCGTTCCTGTTGTAACTCTGGCGCCCAATGCAGTGCCAGGCACAGGGGAGACCATTAACAAATCATTGCTGGATATTGAATGACTGTTGGTGAAATTTTATCATTTTATCAAATTCTTAAAAATAGAGATTAATATTTTTTGTATTTTTAGTAGAGACAGGGTTTCACCATGTTGGTCAGGCTGGTCTTGAACTCCTGACCTCATGTGATCCACCCATCTCGGCCTCCCAAACTGCTGTGATTATAGACGTGAGCCACTGCACCCAGCCAAGACACAGTTCTTTTACTTCCCATTCTGCACAGGAAATTTGTTCCGAGGGAGCAGCCAGGATGAAAACTTTAGCGAGCCCCCGACTTTCCTGTGTACTCTCAGGTAATAAGCAGTTGCTCTAATTACCAAACACAGCCTCTTTAATAACTTCCTAGTTTTAGAGACAGTGTCTCGCTTTGTCACTCTGTTGCTCAGAATGAAGAACAATGGCGAAATCATAGCTCACTGCGGCCGTGAACTCCTGAGCTCAGGCAATCCTCCTAACTCAGCCTCTCTAGAAGCTGAGATTACAGGTGCATGCCACCATGCTCAGCAGTTTTTAAATTTTTTGTAGAGACAGGGTCTTGCTGTGTTACCCAGGGCGGTCTCAAATTCCTGGCCTCAAATGATCCGCCCATCTCTGTCTCCCAAAATCTTGGGATTACAGGTATGAGCCACCATGCCTGGCCCAAATGTAATCTTAATTCAGAAACCCAGCCCAAGGTATTTCTCTTACCTGGTACTGCTCTCTCTCCTGCCTCCAAGCCATCGCCCAGCTCCCCAGCCAGTTTTTGGCCCCTGCAGTAGGAAGATGGGCAGTAACAAGTGGTAAGGAGATAGATAAGGTCCTAAACTGGAAGCTTCCAAAACTAGTTTCACACTGTCCAGGACATACATGGTGAAAAAAGGCTATCATTCCTCACTCCTTCCTGAATCTGTGCCCTTTGCACATGACCTTACTATTGCTCGCACTAAAGAGCCAGAGTTGATTTTCCTACCCACTAAATCTGGGCTGGCCTTGTGACTTGCTTCAGCTGATAGAGTGCTGTGGAAGGAGCGTTAGGAGAAATGCCTAACGTAGATGACGGGGTGATGGATGCAGCAAACCACCGTGGCACACGTGTACCTATGTAACAAACCTGCACATTCTGCACGTGTACCCCAGAACTTAAAGTAAAATAAAAAATAAATAAATGAATCATAAATAAATTAATAAGCAAATAGATAATGCTGTGGAAACGGTGGCCTTCCAGTGCCAAGCCCAGGCCTCAAGAGATCTTACATAATTCTGCTGACTGTCATGATCTGCAGTGAATACCAGGCGAGCCTGCTGGAGGATGAAATGCCACATGCAACCAACCAAGTCACTCCAGCCAAGGCCAGCCTCAACCAGCCCTGTCCCAGACAACTTGCCAGCAGACAAGAAAAGAGACACGGAAGAGCCCAGCCTAGTCCAGCCCAGATCAACACAGTCCAGTGGACAAGCCAATTACCACAGACTTTGTAATGGTCTGGAGCCGTTACGCACCCTCATGGTGGCAATAAATAATGGCTACACTCCTGTTCTGGCAAATGTTCAACGCTGATTCTCTTCTGAGGCTCCTCCATGAACTCTTCCAAGAGCCCCACTGCTGAAGGCCTCTCTCTGCAACTCTGAAGGTGTGGGGAATTCATATTTTCCTTCAGCTAGCCTCCTGTGATCTCCTCCCTCAGCTGTTTCTCCGGCTTCCGCCTCGCCCTGTCTCTCCCTGTTGAGGTCCCTTCACCCTGCTGGCAGCACTCAAAATAGCTCCAGGCAGGGCTTTCTCGCAGTAGGGGACACACCACAGCTTTCTGCATGAGATCTCAGCGTGACGGGGGACCCCTCCAAAGAACATCCCAGCAAACCCTCCCCCTTCCTTCTTTGATCCCTTTCTCACTGCCTTGTTGGGATGAGGGTCTAAGAGCCATGGAGATGGTCCTTGAAACTGTCCTCATTGTAAACGCTGCCGTGAGATCTGGTTTTGGAATTTGCCATCTATTTTATCTTGGCATCACCCTCAAAATGTCCGCTTTAACGACTGTTATATCCGAAATAACAGTTCTGCAGAGATAGCCAGCCTGCATTTTTCTGAATTACATGAGAGAGAAAAACGTAGGTCCAGGTGCCATGTTTTCCCACCTTACGTCTGCAGAAGAAACAGCAGCACTGACTGCCCCGTAGAACAGCTACAAAGAAATTCAAACAGCGACTGGGTGCAGTGGCTCATGCCTGTAATCTCAGCACTTTGGGAGGCTGAGGAGCGTAGATCATCTGAGGCCAGGAGTTCGAGACCAGCCTGGCCTATGTGGTGAAACTCCGTCTCTACTAAAAATACAAAAATTAGCTGGATGTGGTGGCAGTCATCTGTAATCCCAGCTACTCGGGAGGCTGAGGCAGGAGAATCGCTTGAACCTGGGAGGCGGAGGTTGCAGTGAGCCAAGATCACACCACTGCACTCCAGCCTGGGTGACAGAGCAAGGCTCAGGGTCAACAACAACAAAAAGAAACTCAAATAGCAGAGAATCACAGTGGTGTGTTTCTAGCCCCTCTAAACAGAGAAAACTCTAACCAAATCAGTCCTGACTTTCTCTTATTTATGCCACATACATTCTCCTACAAACATTAGGAGTGTTGTTCTTAATGTTTGTTCCCCTGTGGGAAGAGAATTGTTTCCTTCTGCCTATTCACGGAAAGTGTCTCTGACTCTTCAGGGACATGGAGATACCAACAGCCGGTACTGTCATCTCATTCTTTCTAGTACACTTTGCCTTAGTTTAGCAATTCTGAGAAGCAGCTTCTATTTTTTAAATTTTTTTCTATTTTTAATTTTTGTGGCTACATAGTAGGTGTATATATTTATGGGGTGCATGAGATGTTTTGATACAGACATGCAATGTAAAATAAGCACATCGTGGAGAATGAGGTAGCCATCCCCCCAAGCAGGTATCCTTTCAGTTACAAACAATCCAATTACATTCTTTATTTTAAAATGTACAATTAAATTATTATTGACTATAGTCACTCTGTTGTGCTGTCACATAGTAGGTCTTATTCCCTCTTTCTAACCACTTTTTTGTACGAATTAGCCATCGCCACCTCCAACCCCCGACAACCCCACCTCCAACCCCCGACAACCCCACAAAACCCTTCCCAGCCTCTGGCAGCCATCTGTATCAGTCCGTGTTCATGCTGCTGATGAAGACATACCCAAGCTTGAGCAATTTACAAAAGAAAGAGATTTAATAGACTTATTAAATCAGCTCCACGTGGCTGGGGAGGCCTCGAAATCATGGCAGAAGGTGAAAGGCAGGTCTCACATGGTGGCAGACAAGAGAATAGAGCTTGTGCAGGGAGACTCCCATTTTTTAAAAACATCAGATCTCATGAGACTTACTCACTTATCACAAGAACACCATGGCAAAGACTCGCCTCCGTGATTCAGTTACTTCTCATGCCTGTAATCTCAGCACTTTGGGAGGCTGAGGAGCGTAGATCATCTGAGGCCAGGAGTTCGAGACCAGCCTGGCCTATGTGGTGAAACTCCCACTACAACATGTGGGAATTCAAGATGAGATGTGGGTGGGGACACAGCCAAACCATATCACCCTCCATTTATTCTCAATGTTCATGAGTTCCAGAGTTTCGATTTTTAGATTCCACAAATAAGTGAGAACCTGTGACGTCTGTCTTTCTGTGCCTGGACTATTTCACTTACCATAATGACCTCCAGTTCCATTCGTGTTGTTGCAAAGACGCAGATTCTGAACCCAGGATTCAGTTGCAAGTAGTTCATTTGGGAGGATACCGGTTTTCTGTGTCTGCCATAACAAATTACGCAAACTGGGTGGTCTAGAACAGCAGACGTTCATTCTGTCAGCGTTCTGATGAGAACTGGAAGTTGGAAACCAAGGTCAGCAGGCATATGCTCTTTCTGAAGGTTCTGGAAGAGTGTCTGTGCCATGCCTCTCCCCTAGCTCCTGGGCGTTCCAGCAATCCTTAGCTTGTAGATGCATTGCTGCCATCTCTGCCTCTATCTTCACAAGGCCTTCTCCTCTCTGGGTGTCTGTCTCTGGGTCTCCTCGTTTGATAAGGACAACAGGCATATTGGATTAGGGCCCACTCTACTGTAGGATGATCTCATCTTAATTTGATTAATTCTGGAAAGGCCCTGTTTCCAAATGAGGTCACATTCACAGGTACCAGGAGTTAGGACTTCAATATATCTTTTGAAGGGACACCGTTGGAAGTAAACGCCTATTCTCCGGTGTTGCCAAGAAGAATTAGCACTCAGGTCCTAAGTTCTCTCAGCAAGGCAAATTTACTTTCTGCAGAAAGGTCACTACTTGCCAGCAGTCTTGCCACAAGAGTGCAATGAGCAAAGGAAAGGCAGAAGTATGTATCCTTTATACAGCTGGGTTCCTATTGCTATATCCAGCATCTACTGGCTGGCACCAGACTTCCTAGTCTAAACTAGAGCTGATTGGCTAATGCTTTAAGGAGCAGGAAAGAACTTTCCATATTTAGGTAGGTCAAGCCTTTTCTTTTTTTTTTTTTTTTGAGATGGAGTTTCGCTCTTGTTACCCAGGCTAGAGTGCAATGGTGCGATCTCAGCTCACCGCAACCTCCGCCTCCTGGGTTTAAGCAATTCTCCTGCCTTAGCCTCCCGAGTAGCTGGGACTACAGGCATGTGCCACCATGCCCAGCTAATTTTTGTATTTTTAGTAGAGATGGGGTTTCACCATGTTGACCAGATGGTCTCGATCTCTTGACCTCGCGATCCACCCGCCTCGGCCTCCCAAAGTGCTGGGATTATAGGCGTGAGCCACCGCGCCCGGCCTAGGTCAAGCCTTTTCTAATTAACTTCCTTTTTCTTAGAAGAAAAGAGGAATTTAATTAGAAAAGGCTTGACCTACTTAAATAAGGAAAGGTATACTTAAATAAGGAAAGGTTAAGAGATACCTGGGCCTGCCTGGGAATGTCTGCTAAGAAGCAAATGGAGTCAGGCTTCTTAATGCTAGAGAGCTAGACATTTGAGAAAGAACTTTCCTATATCCTTCAGACACGATCCAACCCAAAACAGGAGATGATGTCAGGGAACTCCATGGGGGTGCTGGGGGACATGAGGCAGGAAAGAGAAGAACCAATAGACAGTGTTATCAAGTAAGTAACTGGGGCTCAGTCCTCTGCACAAGACGCATCTCAGAGTTGCTGAAATCCTGAGCAGGGGCGGAGGCCAAGAAGCTCAGCTTTTCCACCTCCTCCACAGCCATCATCAGCTGAGAAAGGCTTCCAGGCCACTGACTCTTCTGCACTTCCGACTCACCTTGCCCAATGCCCAGACCCAGCATGGTCTCAGAGCCATAAAACAGGACCTCAGAACACAGGTGCTTGTGTGAAGCAGCTCTCAGCATGTAGAGACGCAGGCTGAGGCATGAAGTAGGAGGCCACACACGTCGACAAACTCAGCATAATTCTATTTACAGCAAATCAGAGCAAAAATATGGGAGTATGATCCATGTGGGAGCCACTAAAGGTTTTCATCCTAACGAACTCGGAATGCTGAACGTGGCCACCTGCATGCTGTGAAATGATTCCGATACAGTGTGGGCCTGGCACAGAAACCGGCCAACCTACACAAAAAACAGAGCCCTCAGGTGTTTATTGGCCCATGGGTTGCTTCTCCCACCTCACCCTCTTCCTTTTGAGTTGAAAGAGCCAATGGCATGAATCAGGGGCTGGGATGCATGTACCAGTCCAGCCGCCTGCCCAATTTTACCCCTTTCACCAATGTCAGAGAGCACCCTTCCTGACTTATGAGAAGGAAAATGAGTCAGGCGCTGGCACGTCTCATCTGAAAAACTGCCACTCGCTAACAAAACTAAATCCTGATGTTAGCTCTGATACCTACAGACCCCCAGGTACTAAAATCCCCATGTAACTTCTTTCTTCAAAAGTGATTAGAGCAAACTTAATCACTAGGGGAAGGTGCTAATGGTGACAAAAAGATCATCTAAGTGCCTTGGGCACTTCCCTTGAGACATAATTAGTCTATCTTGGCAGTTGCTCATTTTCAGCATCGTCATTGTTTCCAGCAGCAGGTTAAGCTGCTGAAAGTGAAGTAATAGCTATTAATTAGTTCATAGATTCATTCATCAAGTAATAAGAAATAGAAGGAAACTAGTTTGTGAGTTGGGAGGATTGCCTGAGCCCAGGAGGTTGAGGCTGCAGTGAGTTGAGATCATGCCACTGCACTCCAGCCTGGGTGACAGAGAGAGGCCCTGTCAAGAAAAGAAAAGAAGGAAGGGAGGGAGGGAGGGAGGGAGGGAGGGAGGGAAGGAGGAAGGGAGGGAGGGAGGGAGGGAGGGAAGAAAAGAAGGAAAAGAAAGAAGGAAAGGAAAGGAAGGAAGGAAGGAGGGAAAGAGAGATGAAGGGAGGGAGGGAGGGAAAGAAGGAAGGAAAAGGAAAAGAAAGAAGAAAGGAAGGAAGGAGGGAAGGGAAGAAGGGAGGGGAGGAGGGAGGGAGGGAGGGAAGGAAAAGAAAGGAGGGAAAGAAAGGGAGGGAGGGAGGGAGGGAGGGAAGGAAGGGAGGAAGGAAAGAAGGAAGGAAGGAAAGAAGGAAGGAAGGAAGGAATTCATTTGGAGGATAGAAAATATAAATCATCCCATACATTGATTTCCACTGTGCGTGTGTCCATGAATGCTGGGCTTAACAGAGCCCGGCCTGCTGTCATCCTTGACCAGAGGCCTGGCTGCTGTGAGGTGCCCTTCCACACACAGGTAATGGCAGTTCAAGGTCATCCTCTTCTGGGTAGAGCCTTCCCAACCCAGCTCTGCCCAGAGTCAGTTCCCCATTCTCTGGATTCGGAGGCCTGGTATCCCCAAGCTCATCATGTCCTGTTCAGAACATAGCCTGTGTTGTTGCCTTCCATCATTGTGAAATTCATACTGCAGTTTAACTTCTACTCTTCTTTCTAAAATATTCTCAAGAGGCTGGGCGCAGTGGCTCACACTTGTAATCCTAGCACTTTGGGAGGCCAAGGCAGGGGGATCGCCTGAGTCCAGGAGTTGAAGACCAGCCTGAGCAACAGGGTGAGACCCTGTCTCTACAAAAAATTTTAAAAATACCTGGGTGTGATGGTGCATACGTGCAGTGCCAGCTATTCAGGAGGCTGAGGTGGGAGGATTACTTGAGCCCAGGAGATGGAGGCTGCAGTGAGCTGTGATCGCACCCTGGCACTCCAGCCTGGATGAAAGAGTGAGACTGTCTCAAAAATAAAATATGAGAATATAAATTTGAGGTGGAGACCATAGTCCTTCCCTTCACGTCCAGAATTCAGTCCTAATTTCAATAAAGTTACCTACGAAATCATTACTGCTTTAACAGAGAGATATATTACCTTCCTGCAGAAAATGCACCTATCAGCCCATGGAGTGGAAATTTGCATATCGTAAGTTCCAGCTCATTCAGAGCTAAGGCTCTGGGACAGCAACATTGCAGGAGACAGAGACACGGGAACAGGGGTGGAGACCTGGAGACAACCTCAGGGCCGCTCAGGCTCAGAGTGGCCACGATGGAACTGGGAGTCCTATCCTTCTTGTTCCAATTAAACCTCTTCTTTCAAATATCTGTACAACATTGCTATCTCCCTTGGACTCTACTGAAAGTAATTGTGTTGCCTCTTGATATCACAATAAAGGCCCTTTCTGATACAATAAAAATTCAGTGGAGAAATCCTGAGCAATTCTCATTTGGACCATGGGAACCAGCATGGGTGGGTGTCCATGAGTCTCCTCCACCAGGCAATGTCTTAGTGACAATGAGGCAGGAAGAATAGGTAGTAGCCATGTCCAGCCAGGCATGGTGGCTCACCCTGTAATCCCAGCACTTTGGGAGACCGAGGCGGGTGGACCAAGAGGTTGGGAGTCCAAGACCAGTCTGGCCAACATGGTGAAACCCCGTCTCTACTAAAAATACAAAAAATTAACCAGGCATGGTGGCAGGTACCTGTAATCCCAGCTACTCTGGAGGCTGAGGCAAGAAAATCACTTGAACCCAGGAGGCGGAGGTTGTGGTGAGCAAAGATCACACCATTGCACTCCAGCCTGAGCAACAGAGACTCTGTCTGAAAAGAAAAAAAAAAAAAAGAAAGAAAGAAACCATGTCCTTGGGACATGGCAACTGTGGCAACCAGACGGTCAACACAATCAGCCCCAGCGCTGGCACTGTGGTCCAGCTCACCCAAGCAAAGCTATCTCCAGTAGGGAACTTCCCCCATAGGAAGCATGCACATTTTTATTTTACCTGTCCTCAGACCAGCTCTTTGCTCATTATAATAGTAAAAAACACATCCCGGGTGGATATTTAACATGGTAATGAAACGTGACATACAACCATGTACGTACAGCTACTGCGCATGCGCACCCAGAGGACGCTTCCTAGTGACACCTCTTTCCACCTCCTTATGAATAATCAGGTAAGACTCCCACAAAAGGGGTTTCCCCAGCAATAATCCACGCTGTCTCATCCTTAACGAGCAGCTCGCCCTGAATTGCCTCTCAGGGGTATACTGTCCATTCTGCACTTAACTTTCAAAATATTCCTTTTTTTTTTTTTTTTTTTTTTTTTGAGATGGAGTCTTGCTCTGTTGCCCAGGCTGGAGCACAGTGGCGCCATCTCGGCTCACTGCAACCTCCGCCTCCCGGGTTCAAGCGATTCTCTTGCCTCAGCCTGCCAAGTAGCTGGGATTACAGGCACTTGCCACCATGCCTGGCTGTTTTTGTTTTAGTAAATGGGGTTTCACCACATTGGCCAGGCTGGTCTTGAACTCCTGACCTCAGGTGATCTGCCTGCCTTGGCCTCCCAAAGTGCTAGAATTATAGCATGAGCCACCACATCTGGCCCTCAAAATATTATTTTACTCTTGCAATAAATTACTTCGTACTGCATCTCCTTCACTATGTGTCTCTTGTTTGAATTATTTTAAACTAAGAAGAAAAGAACTGAGTTCTCACAACAGCTGTCAACAGGAAGACTTCACTCATTCATCCACTAAATATGTACCGAGCCATTCCAATGGGCCAGACACGGTGCTAGACACTGTCTGGGGAAGCGGGGTGCCGGGAAGGAGGAAGGACAGACAGGTGAATCCAAGCGCCAGCCTGCACTGCAGGTGTTTTGTGTAAGGAACAGGCGAATGAAGTTAGCACATCAATAACTCCAATACAATAGGGAGTGATGGGGGCCTGAGGCATTCAGAGAAATTTCTTGGAAACACAGAGAAATTACTACAGGAACTGAAATACAGAAACATGAGTTGGCTCCCCCCTCTCAGACTCTGCCAGGAAAGGGTCGAAACTAGAGAACGTCCTGGAACCAGGTTCAGTGTCCACTCAGGGGCCCTCGGACACTGTATTCATTTGTTTAAATATGCTGTTCATTTACATTGTTTGGATATATTGTGTGTATTTTTATTGATTTGACACACTGTACTTATTGATTCAAGGGTTATGGTAAGTAGATGATGTGGACTGCTCATGTAAAAATTGCTGTAATCACGAAAAAGGAAATGACTAGAAGTGGCTGTAAATGTGCCAATGCTCAAATGGCTTCAGTGGCTTTTCTTTTTTTTAAGATGGAGTTTCACTCTTGTTGCCCAAGCTGGAGTGCAATGGTGCGATCTCAGCTCACTGCAGTCTCCACCTCTGGGTTCTCCCGAGTAGTGAGGATCACAGGCACACACCAGCATGCCTGGCTCATTTTTTGTATCTTTAGTAGAAACAGGGGTTTCACCATGTTAGCCAGGCTGGTCTTGAACTCCTGGCCTCAGGTGATCCACCCGCCTCGGCCTCCCAAAGTGCTGGGATTACAGGCATGAGCCACCACGCCCAGCTGGCCTCAGTGTCTCCTTTCTTTCCCAATGAGAGATAATGATATTTAAGGACTTTGGCTCAGGCAGCCATTAAACAAAGACTGACTGCTGGATGGTGGACAAGCCCCAGAGAGAGCCCGCTGCTGCTCCGGCTGTAGCCTCAGGAAGAACACTGACTTAGATCCTCTCCAGCTGTGTGACCTGTGCAAACTGTTCGATCTCTCATGCCTCAGTTTCCTTAACCACTTATAGTTGTTGTGAGAATCAAGTAAGCTACCGTGTAAACGTAGAGAGCCATGTGTTAGCTAGCCTCATCATCATCATCAGGACCTAGTGGGACAGACCCTGCCCTGATGGCCCCCTAGCAGGAAGGATGGCCGGCAGGAAAAAGAGGACAGGGTCTGGAAGCAGCCAGTTTGACTGCTGAGTTCAAGCTGATTTTAAAATTAGAAGTGGGAGGTAATTTCCTGTCATTCCAAACAAGAGGTTTGTAAGATGATTCTTTTTTATCTCAGACAGAGCAAAGTCGGGAGAGCCACTGCTTTTGGTCTTCAGAGAATAGGGTGGGGCTGCATGGGGGATGGGAAGAGGATGCTGAGGAATGGGCTTCTCTGTGCTCTTCAGAGTCATCCTCTAAGTCCAGGACGAACAGGCCCACTGGGGACTTGCTGTCCTCAATGCCTCTCGCCATCCTACAGCCTGTGGCGAACCCAGCACCTCCAAGCTCAGCTAACTAGATCTGGCTTCAAAAGAGGGAGAACTAATTAGATTTTTCTTACAGACCATGTGAGCTCTGATTGGCTAAGATTGGAAAGCAGCAGAAAGACAGAAAGAAAAGTGGGGAAATCTGCTGGTGGTGTGGATGAGAGAAAACACGTTTAAAACAAAGTTTAAAACTATACCGGGGTCAGAAAGAAAATAAAAATTATCAGGCCGGGCACAGTGGCTCATGCCTGTCAACCCAGCACTTTGGGGGGCTAAGGCAGGTGGATCACGAGGTCAGGAGTTCAAGATCAACCTGGCCAAGATGGTGAAACGTTGTCTCTACTAAAAATACCAGAATTAGTCAGGGGCAGTGGTGTGCACCTACAATCCAAGCTACTCAGGAGGCTGAGGCAGGAGAATCGCTTGAACCCAGGAGGTGGAGGTTGCAGTGAGCTGAGATGGTGCCACCGTACTCCAGCCTGGGGAATAAAGCATGCCTGTAATCCCAGCTACTCAGGAGGCTGAGGCAGGAGAATCGCTTGAACCTGGGAGGCGTGAACTGGTGGTTGAAGTGACCCGAGATCAGGCCCTTGCACTCCAGTCTGGGCAAGAAGAGCAAAACTCCGTCTCAAAAAATAAAAATAAAGACTTTGCCAAGCACCTAATTTATAGTAATAAAATATCTTTTTTTTAAGCTGTAATATCAAGAGATCCTATAAGATAAAATACATTTCACAAGTAACCCTCAAAATAATTAAAGACAAGATAAACTAGTTTCAAAAACATCTTCAACTAAATTTGTTCAAAGGTATAATACTACACTATGTGTGAGTTAAATAATTTTTGAAATTGTAACTTTCAAATGAAGCCCTTCAGGCATGGAAAAATATAAACAGTTGCAGAGAAATAGGCCAGGTACAAAAGAACAAGTACTGTACGATTCCACAAATATCAGCAACAGGCAAATTCATAGAGACAAAAAGTCTGATCGAGGTGCCAGGGCTGGGGAGAGGGGGATGGCAGTTGCTTAATGGGTGCAGAGTTTCTCTCTGAGATGATGAAGAAGTTCTGGGAATGGGCAGTGTTGAGAGTGTCACAACATTGTGAATTTATTTCATGCCACTGACTTGTATGCTTATACTTAATACACTTAAATATGGCATCTGGACAGGGCTGCCAGATCATTCCATGAAGCCAGTGTCACCCTGCTACCAAAATCACACAAAGACGTCACAAGAAAGCGCGGTACGGTGGTTCACGCTTGCAGTCTCAGCACTTTGGGAGGCCGAAGCAGGCGGATCACTAGGTCAGGAGTTTGAGACCAGCCTGGCCAACATGGTGAAACCCCGTCTCTACTAAAAATACAGAAATTATTCTGTATTTTTCTGTATGGTGGGTGGGCGTGGTGGCAAGCCCCTGTAATCCCAGCTACTTGGGAGGTTGAGGTAGGAGAATCGCTTGAACCCGGGAGGTAGAGGTTGCAGTGAGCCAAGATCACACCACTGCACTTCAACCTGGGTAAGAGAGCGAGACTCCAACTCAAAACACACACACACACACACACACACACACACCCACCCCAAGAAAACAAAAGACCAATATCTCTTTTGAATATACCATAAAAATCCTCAATAAAATATTAGCAAATTAAATCCAGAAACATATAAAGGGGATTATATGCCATGATCAAATGGGCATTTATCCCAGGAATCAAATGAGATTCTTTTCCCAGGAGTGCAAGTTTGATTTAGCATCCAAAAATTAATATAATGTACCATATAAATAGAATAAAGAACAAAAATCACATGATCATCTCAAGAGATACAGAACAGGCATTGGACAAAATCCAAAACCCTTTCATAAAAACATTCAGCAAGCAAGGAACAGAAGGGAACTTCCTCAGCTTGGTAATACGTGAAGCCCACAGTTACATTCTACTTGATGATGAGAGGCTGAATGCTTTTCCCCTAAGATCAAGAACAAGGATATCTATTCTCGTTACTTTCATTCAACACGTTACTGGAGATTGTAGCCAGGGCTATGAGGTAATAAAAAGAAATAAAAGGCAACCAGATTAGAAATAAAGGAGTAAAGCTATTTTTATTCATGGATGACATGACCTTGTATATAGAAAATCCTAAGAAACCCACAAAAACTATTAGAACTAATTAAAGAGGTTTAGTACATTATGGGATACAGGGTCAATATCAAAAATTAATTGTATCTCAGCCGGGTGCAGTGGCTCACCCCTGTAATCCCAGCCCTTTTGGAGGCCAAGGCGGGTGGATCACTTGAGGTCCAAGACCAGCCTGGCCAACATAGTGAAACCTGGTCTCTACTAAGAATACAAAAATTAACCAGGCATGGTTGCAGGTGCCTGTAATCCCAGGTACTCGGCAGGCTAAGGCATGAGAATTGCTTGAATCCAGGAGGCGGTGGTTGCAGTGAGCTGAGATCACACCACTGCACCACAGCCTTGGTGACACAGCCAAACTCAGTCTCAAAAAAAAAAAAAAAATGAATTAATGGTATCTCAATATATTAGCAAGGAAAAAATCTGAAGATTAACAAAGCAGAAAAGTTCATTTAAGCATTGATTAAAATGCTTAGAAATACATTTAATAAGAGAAATATAAGACTTGTACACTGAAATTCCCACCACATTTAGGAATATATATTTATCTCCATGAGAATTGAAAATATATGTACACAAAAACTTACACAAGTGTCTAGCTGACCTTCTGCACACACACACACAAACCAAACAAAACCTACACCAGTGTCTAGCTGACCTTCTGGACACACACACACACACACACACACACACACACACACATCGTAATAGCCCAAAAGTCGAAACACTGCAAATGCCCATCAATTGATGAACTGATAGTTATAAACAAAACGCGTTATATCCATGTCATGGAATATTATTCAGCCTGTATTAGTCTGTTCTCACACTGCTAATAATGACATACCCGAGACTGGGTAGTTTATCAAGGAAAGAGGTTTAATGAACTCACAGTTCCACATGGCTGGAGAGGCCTCATGATCACGGTAGACGAGCACGGACGTCTCACCTGACAGCAGGCAAAAAGGCGCTTGTGCGGCGGAACTGCTCTTCATAAAACCTTCAGATGTCACGAGACTTACTACCACGAGAACAGCACAGGAAAGACCCACCCCCATGATTCAGTGACCTCCCACAGGGCCCCTCCCATGACACGTGGGAATTCTGGGAGCTACAATTCAAGGTGAGATTTGGGTGGTGACACAGCTGAACCATATCACAGCCATAAAAAGAAATGAAGTTCTGACGTGTGCTATAATGTGGGTGTATCTCCAAAATATTATGCAAAATGAAAGAGGCCTTTTACAAAAGACTATACATTGTACGATTCCTTTTATATGAAATGTCCAGAATAGGGACGCCTATAGAGGCAGACGTAGATTAGTGATTTCCAGCAGCTGTGGGGAGGGCGGAATGAGGAGTGACTGCTAATGGTTACGGGATTTCTTTCTAGGGTGAAGAAAATGTTATAAAATTGAATGTGAGGATGGCTATACAGCTCCCTGAGGATGCTAAAAACCACTGATTTATACAATTTAAGTTATTGGATTTTCTGTGTGAATTATATCTCAATAAAACTATTTCTAAATTTTTGAAATAAAAAATTAAATTTTAGATGGTCTGGAAAGCAGAATGATGTGTTTCTTCTCCTACTCAGGTGGCAATGCAAGGGGATGGTTAGATTTGACCATCCTTCCTTCCCTTTTTTTTTCTTTTTTTTTTTTTTTTTGAGGCAGTCTTGCTCTTGTCACCCAGGCCGGCTGGAGTGCAGTGGCGCGATCTCAGCTCACTGCAACCTCCACCTGCTCGGTTCAAGTGATTCTCCTGCCTCAGTCTCCTGACTAGTTGGGATTACAGGTGTGCGCCACCACACCCGGCTCATTTTTGTATTTTTAGTAGGGACAAGGTTTTGCCATGTTGGCCAGGCTGGTCTCGAACTCCTGATCTCAGGTGATCCACCTTCCTCAGCCTCCCAAAGTGCTGGGATTGTAGGCATGAGCCATCGTGCCCAGCCATCCTTCCTTTGTAAACAGCCCATTTTTTTTGGAAAATCTGGGCTTCTAGAAGAATGCTGACTTACCACTGTCATGTTACTATAAATACACAAAGCTACAAGCTCCCATCAGATGATTCCAAAAGGTTCTTCTGTGCTGATGGTTATTTTTCTTAACTGCCTTTCCTGCCATCAAATCCCTCTGCACAGCAAATAAGTATTAAATGTCATTCTTGGGTTTAATCTTCATGATTTAATGGGAACCATGGACAGACTGTTTCCAAAGGAAGTTGTTGGTTTTGTTTGTTTATTACAAACCACAACCCACCAGTGCTTGCTGAGATAATTACTCAAGGAAGATCTTGTCTACAGTTCTGGTAGAGCTCAGCTTTGGACTGCAGAACAAACAAATAAAATCCTTGCTTGTTCCGGACATAGGACTTGAGTCAAAATCTCACGTTACACAGAATAGACTTTTACTTTACATTAGTGAGAATATATGGGATGCCTTTGTGGAAACGGATACAATAAAAGCAAGGATTCTTCTCATCAACAGCTAACTTGTCATTCCATGACCGCAAGCTTCCAGTCATCCGAATGGATTACACTACTTAGTTTTGACCTAACAAACCCAAGGGTCTCCTTCTGAAAATGTCTATCTCCTGACATTCAAGAGCCCTGAAAAGGCTGACTAATTGAAAAATAAAGAAACAGATGTGTTGTAAATTGGTGTATAGTGGCACTCTGAGAATCCTTGAGATTCTTAGTTATTCCGTAAGATAGTTCCAACATTAAAAGTAATGGTGGCAGGCCGGGTTGCTCACACCTGTAATCCCAGCATTTTGGGAGGCTGAGGCGGGCAGAGAACGAGGTCAAGAGATCGAGACCATCCTGGCCAACATAGTGAAACCCCATCTCCACTAAAATACAAAAATTAGCAGGGCATGGTGGTGTGCACCTATAGTCTCAGCCACTCAGAAGGCTGAGGCAGGAGAATTGCTTGAACCCAGGAGGCTGAGGTTACAGTGAGCCAAGATCACACACTGCACTCCAGCCTGGGCAGCAGAGTGAAACTCTGTCTCACACCCACACACACACACAGATTGCTCTCCAAGACATTCGCTAAAATTCCTGGACAATGGTGACAGTAATGATTTAAAGTAGTAACCTGAGAATTTCAATGAAAGTGAGACCCAAGAACATTCCTCCTCCACCCTTAACCCGCCACCCTCAACCCAAGTTCCAATCAAAAAGTCTGGGTGGTGGTGTGCTGGTAAACGTTTAACAACTGGCTCTTTGTGGAAGAAGACCTGACTCAAAGAGCTTGTCAGTTTCCATGGTGTAACTACTTGCACCATGACCAATCAAACTCCCCGCTTGAAAAAACTGAATGAAGCGTTGGGGGGAGCCACCTGTACCCTCAGTTCTCTCCAGCTGGCATGAGCTGGCCCCGGCACACTCCTGAGTCCTAAAGAGACAGTACTGAAATACAAGTGTAAATTAGTAGCAGAAACCCAATTTATCATATAGCCTATTGGAAGGAATTCTATGCACACAAAAGGGAAGGTGATCATGGGAATAAAAAGAGGAAGGGGAAAAAACAAAGAGCCAAGTCCCGAGTGCCTGCATGGGCACTGTCCAGGAAGAGGGTGCCCCGCTACAGGATTCAGGCTTTCCAGTCTGATGCAGCCAGCCTGACGTAAAGGCTAACAGAGGAGCCTGCCTTTACGTCAGGCTGCCTGCATCAGACTGGAAACCTCCAACTCTTTTTTTTTTTTTTTTTTTTTGTAGCAATTATACCTTCCCATAGCCTCGAACTCTACCCCTGTAATCTGATTCCATACTCATCAAGTGACTTTCTGATTAGAACTTGATTTCCCTTGAAGAGTGGGTTTATCTGTCCAGAGGGCAGAAGGCATACTCTACCGTTCAAGTATTTTACTCCAGTTTCACTGCTCATTAGTTGTTTTGTTTTTTGTATTTTGTTTCTATTTTTTTTTTTTTTTTGAGATGGAGTTTTGCTCTTGTCACCCAGGCTGTAGTGCAATGGCACGATCTTGGCTCCCTGAAACCTCTGCCTCCCAGGTTCAAGTGATTCTCCTGCCTCAGGCTCCTGAGTAGCTGGAATTACAGGTGCGCACCACCATGCCCAACTAGTTTTTTTTTTTTTTTTTTTGAGACGGAGTTTCACTCATGTTTCCCAGGCTGGAGTGCAATGGCGCGATCTCGGCTCACCGCAACCTCCGCCTCCTGGGTTCAGGCAATTCTCCTGCCTCGGCCTCCCAAAGTGCTGGGATTACAGGCTTGAGCCACCGCGCCCAGCCAAGTTTTTGTATTTTTAGTAGAGACAAAGTTTCACCATGTTGTCCAGGCTGGTCTCCCAACTCCTGACCTCAGATGTTCCGCCCACCTTGGCCTCCCAAAGTGCTGGGATTAAAGGCCTGAGCCACCGCACCCAGCCTTGCTCATCCATTGCTAATGATAAACTGGAATTCTAAAACAGTTACCATTCACAATCTTTCATCCCGTCTGGACTGCTTTGATGGCAGTCACCTGCAGCGCTCTCCGTGGCATCTTGAGAGAGCGAAAAGCTCTGAGCAGCACTTCTGCTCTGGCTCTGAACTCCATGCACAAATAAGCAAATGCCCCGAAGTGAACAGTGGTGATAGCCTGGCTGCCTCGTCTGGTCACTAATGCCTTCAAACAGGTGTTTTGGGAATATCATTCAGCTTTTGTGATGGCTCTCAATAGGAAAGTGCGTCTATTTTTAATTAATTAATTATAGAGACAGGGTCTTGGTCCATCACCAAGGCTGGAGTCCAGTGGTGTGATCACAGCTCACTGCAGCCTTGAAGTCCCCGGCTCAAGCTTTCTTCCCACCTCAGCCTCCTGAGTAGCTGGAGCCATATCTGGCTAATATTTTTAGGAAAGTTGGTCTATTCTCAGGTACTTGTCACAGCCAGAAGTAGAACCCCCTGAAAATATCCTTCTCCATACCTGATGTTTTCTCACATCTTAAGGTTTAGTTCAAATGACACTTTTCACAATCTTCTCTGCCCAGGAAGAACGGCTTCCTGAAAAACAGCCTGTGATAGCTACATGTTTGCTTTGCCCGAGGGAGTAAAAGGAAACTGCCATAATGCGCTAAGACTTCTTCCAGCTGTGGGATGTTTTCTATTAGAATCTATGGGGAACGGGAAGAGGGAGGGGACGCCTAGCAACGAGACCTGCCTTCAAAGTCAAGGTCCAAAAAATGGGGTGACCTCTGCCTTCCTGACATTTAACTGCTTGAAATTAGACTGTGACCCGTATCATTGCTGCCAGATGCCATAGGACACCGTGCTTCCCAACAGACATGGGGTACATTAATTAAGACAGAAAGTGCTGTGCATTAAAAGACAGCTCCAGGGTGCTTTCCACATGCAGATGCTCCGAGGAGGCAGAAGAAACGATACCCAGGGATCAGAAGCGCAGCTGAGGAGCGGCTTCGTTAAAGACCATCATTTGGATTAGTGGATGGTAACAGCCTGACCACGGCTCTCACCACTGGCTCCACTGATGAACGTGTTATTGTGAAAATTGCTATGCTTGCAAGAGGTCTAAATGGTCTTAGATTTTCAGAAATAACATAAAGATGAGCCAAAATCAAAACCCTGCGGGGCCTGTTTTTTAAAAAAAAAAAAAAAGAAAAAGAAAAAAGAGAGAAAGAAACCCTCGAAGCATAAGAATCATTTTTTAGACATCTTAGAACAATTGGCAACTGGGAACCTTTTGCTTGAAATTCTTGGCTCTGACAAAGGCAATGAGCAGCTTTAAAGGATTCAAGAAAGAAAAAGGCTGCCGGGATCATTTCCATTCATTCTGATCTCATTCTTTCCTATTTCATACACTCTCATTTGGCAGCTCTTTAGCTGTCCTTTGTAGGTTTGTGAGAATGATTTGCAAAGCCTTGGAAACAGCTCCTCTCCAGCTCCTCATTCCCTAAGTAATTCTGTGGCCGGTTGTTCACAGGGCCCGTGGGTTTCCTCATCATCTCTGGGGGTTCTATGCACTGCACATGGAAGGGAGGCACACAGGAAGCTCTTGCTCTCTGTAAACGAGGGTCTTTGCTGTAGGAGCAACGAACTAAAGGCTGGAGGTGCTTTCCAGAATGATGCAGTGAAATGCCAAAGGCTGCTGGGACTTTCCACGCTGACAGCATTCGCTTGACCACTTAAAGGAACGAGGGAGGGTGACTATTCCTGGAAGTAACCAGGAGTGATGATTAGCCGTTCCCTTAAGGATAACAAAGTATGTCAATGGCCCCCTCACCCTCCCGCCACATCATGCTGGGCTTTGCAGCAGTGCCTTCCTGCCTGGCCAGTGAGCCTGGTGTGGTCAGCAGCCTGTGCAGGGTGAAGACGACAGGCAAAAGGCAGCTTCTCTGAGGTCGTGAAGCTGACTTTATCCCCTTCATTCAGACGAGGGGTGCTGGGTTACTTGAGACAGCCATCGTATTGATCAATAACATAATGACAGAGACTTCCACAGAATATCTTTGATATGGTTGGGCTCTGTGTCCTCACCCAAATCTCATCTTGAATTGTACTCCCATAATTCCCATGTGTTGTGGGAGGGAGCAGGTGGGAGATAATTGAATCATGGGGGCAGGTCTTTCCAGTGCTGTTCTCGTGATAGTGAATAAATCTCACGGCCAGGTGCAGTGGCTCACTCCCGTAATCTGGGCAGTTTAGGAGGACAAAGTGGGCGGATCACTTGAAGTCAGAAGTTTGAGACCAGCCTGGTCAACATGGTGGAACCCCGCCTCCACTAACAATACAAAAATTAGCCAGGCATGGTGGCACATGACTGTAATCCCAGCTACTCAGGAGGCTGAGGCAGGAGAATCGCTTGAACCTGGGAGGCAGAGATTTGCAGTGAGCCGAGACTGTGCCATTGTGCTCCAGCCTGGGTGACAGAGTGAGACTCTGTCTTAAAAACAAAACAAAACAAAAAATCCTCATGGGATCTGATGGCTTTAGAAGGTAGAGTTTCCCTGCATAGTTCTCTTTACCTGCTGCCATCCACCTAGGATGTGACTTGCTCCACCTTGCCTTCCACCATGATTGTGAGGCTTCCCCAGCCATATGGAACCTCTTTCTTTTGCAAATTGCTTACTCTCCGGTATGTCTTTATCAGCAGCATGAAAACAGATGAATACAGTCTTCTACTGGTTAAATCCATATGTAGTTGAGCAATTCCAACAGCATCCCTTTACACATCCCTTTTATAGATCATAAAAAAAACTTAAGCAAAATTTCTGATGATCCGTAAAACTTGTCTTAGTCAATCTCTGCTATAAGAGTACTAGAGACTGGGTAGCCTACAAAACAAACACTGATTTCTTACAATTCTGGAGGCTGGGAAGTCTGAGATCCAGATACCTACGGATTCAGTATCTGGGGGAGGGGGCCCACTTCCTGGTTTGTAGACAGCCACATTTTTGCTGTGTCTTCCCATAGAGAGGGAGAAAGAGAGAGCCAACTCTCCCATCTCTTGCTAAAGGCACTAATCCCATCCTGATGCCTTCATCTTTGTGACATAATTGCTTCCAAGTGCCCCATATCCTAATGCCATCACATTGGGGATTAAGATTTCAACATATGAATTTGGGGTGGACACAAACATTCAGTCCAAAGAACTTTCACTCAACCAAAGCATGTCCTTTAATATACAAAAAGGAGTCAATAAAAGACGTCTTTACGTTGGCAATTCAGCTCCCCAATCCACCTAAAGCATAGTCAAGTAGTAAACAACCAATTCTTTATACAGATCTGTGCAAACAAATGAGAGCTCATGATTAAGAGCAGTTATTCACTACAAAAAGCATTCCTAAGGAAATTTCCACCCCTGATGTGTTTATATTCTAAGTTGGCAAGGGGGAAGAAAAACATTGGTTCTTTTTTTTTCTCTCATTTTCTTGATACATAAATTGCATGGAAAGGAACAGTTATTTGTTAGAGGGGATGGTCATAAAAGAAGGCTCAGAGAAGAAGTGTGCCTCTTTGCAGCAAAGAAGATGAAGAAGCTCTGCAAGATGTTTCTAGCCCTGCAAAATTTGGTCAAGTTATCCTTGACACTCTTCCACTAAAAACACCTAAAATTCCAGATTAAATGTAAGAAGTATTCTCTTAAATGCATGGCTAGGTTTATGGGAAAAAAAAAAAAAAAAAAAAAAAAAAAAAAAAGGCCAGGTGTGGTGCCTCACGCCTGTAATCCCAGCACGTTAGGAGGCCGAAGCAGGTGGATCACCTGAGGTCAGGATTTCGAGACCAGCCTGACCAACATGGTGAAACCACGTCTCTATAGAAAATACAAAAATTAGCCAGGCACGGTGGCAGTCTCCTGTAATCCCAGCTGCATGGGAGGCTGAGGCAGGAGAATCACTTGAACCCACCAGGCGGAAGTTGTAGTGAGCCAAGATCATGCCACTGCGTCCCAGACAGAGCAAGTCTCCATCTAAAGAAAAAAGAAAAAAAGAAATGGAAATTCTAAGACGTCAAAAACAAAGCTAGATGAGGATTTATGGGAGGAAAGAAAGCCCTGAGGCCTAAGGCCAGCAGCTGCCTGAGCATATTCTGCTAACCGTGGGAAAGCAGACCTTCAGTATTAGTTGCATAGCTAGGGTGCACGCAAGATGAGCATTTCCATCAGAAACCCTGAAACGGTGAACTAGAAAAAAAACCAGTCCTGTAAAGGCGCCAGTAGGAAAATGAGTCTGTCTCAGTTTCAAGTCTAGGTCAAAGGGGGAGGGCTCCTCTGAAGCTTCTTAACCACAAGCCAGGCCTTAAGCAGGTTTGTGGCTTCAATTAACACCACCTCCATGGACAGAAAAACTTCAAACTGAGTATTTAATCCAAAATAGTCACAGATGGGTGGTGTCTCCAGGAGCCTGACAACAGCAAACTAAAATCTTCACCCACACGCAGGTCCTCAAAGAATTCCCACTGACAAAGTTTCAAGAGGCTTGAACTTTTAATCAAAAACCACATTCACGTGAAGAAACAGGTCTCCATGACTGAGAGCAAACAGATTCCAACATACAGCAGACTAGCAGAAGCACCAGATTTTAAAAATTATCAGATACACAACATAAAGTAAGTATGCCAAACATATTTAAATTTAAAAAAAATTAAGAGTAAAAAAATCAAAAAATGATAAAGACCAAGCAAATTTGAAAAATAAGAAATTGAAACTTCTAGAAACAAAAGCAGAAAACTTGACTCTTAGAAACTCCATGAATATGACAAACAGGCGGTTAGATGTAGTTGAAGAAAGAATTAGTGGACTGGAAGATAGAACTAAAGAAATTACTCAGAATGCAGTGGAAAGATAGAGAAAAATCCAAAATATAATGTTAAGAAACAAGGAAGGGGTTCTAGAGGAAATGCTAGAGGAACAGGGGAGATGTAATAGTTTGAGAATTTCCAAATTTAGTTTAAAGAACAAATTCTCAGTTTGAGGATTCCCAGTGAATTCTAATCTGGATTGTTACCCTACACATGCATAGCTTTGTCCTCCAAATGTACCCATTAGTTTAAGTCAGCGGAGCAGCAGGCTCGAAGTATTATGCTAGTGAGTCACTCTACACATAGAAGAAAACAGAAGGAATAATGAATAAACAATACTATCCTACAATAAAGACTAATTTCAGAACACACAAAGAGAGGTAAAGCTAAAATACTCAGCAACAATAGCACATAAGCTAGAAGGAAAATTACTAGAGTAAAAATATGTCATAAGGTCCTGGTATTCTTTGGAAGGAAAATAAAGATAAAGATATTTTGAGGCAGAGTCTCACGCTGTCACCCAGGCTGGAGTGCAGTGGTGAGATCTTGGGTCACTGCAACCTCCACCTCCTGTGTTTAAGCGATCCTCCTGCCTCAGCCTCCCAAGTAGCTGGGCTTACAGGCATGCACCACCATGCCTGGCTAGTTTTTGTATTTTTAGTAGAGACAGAGTTTCACCATGTTGGCCAGGCTGGTCTCGAACTCCTGACCTCAGATGATCTGCCTGCCTCAGCCTCCCAAAGTGCTGGGATTACAGGCGTAAGGCACCACACCCAGCCAGGACATTAATTTAGACTTCATGAAATGTGCTTATTAGAGTTTCAAGGCTAATTATTAAAATACTAACAACATAGTTTAAATCTTGAACAGTAGACTATGCCTTCTCCCCTCTGGACAGATAAATCCACTCTTCAAGGGAAATCAAGTTCTAATCAGAAAGTTACTTGATGAGTAGGGAATCAGATTATGGAGGGTAGAGTTCAAGGCTACAGGAAGCTGTGATTAAAAAAAAAGATTGGAAGTTTCCAGTCTGATGCAGCCAGCCTGACATGAGGAACATATTCCAGATTTATTATTTATTATTTACTTATTTATTTTTGAGACAGAGTCTCACTCTGTCACCCAGAGTGAGTGCAGTGGTGTGATCTCGGCTCACTGCAACCTCCGCTTCCTGGGCTCAAGCAATTTTCCTGCCTCAATCTCCTAAGTAGCTGGGATTGCTGGCACCCACCACCATGCCCGACTAATTTTTGTACTTTTAGTAGAGACAGGGTTTCACCATGTTAGCCAGGCTGGTTTCGAACCCCTGACCTCAAATGGTCTGCCTGGTTGGCCTCCCAAAGTGCTGGGAATATAGGCATGAACCACCATGCCTAGCCCACAGATTAACATTTAAATCTCATCTAAAAGCAGTATCTCCACAGTACCATTTAGACTAGTGCTGACCCGAATATCTGGGTACTGCTGGCCAAGTTGACACATAAAATTCATCACATGGCTGGATCATGAACATGTGTAGCTTGGAGGAAGAGCCAACGGGGTGTGCTGAGAGGAGAGCTGAAAGGAGAGATTTTGTCCCCACGCACCTGGAATTATAGGGATGCCATTAACCAAGATGGAGAGACTGCCAAAAAGCAGACAAGGGAGGTAGAGTCAAAGCATGAGATCAGGGGTTCAGGCTTTGAAGTCTGAGACATCTATCAGACATCCAAATAGAGGTGCAGCTGGATATATGAATCTAGAGTTCAGGGGAGAGGCTCCGGCTGGAGCTAAAAAGCTTCTATCATCTTCTCCATGAGCCTTTTGTAAGATTTCCCACACAGTTCCTAAATTAAAACAAATCCTTTGTGCCCCAGTTTGGGGTATGGGAAACAATGATAATTAAAAACCGAGTGGGCTTAAAGTGTAAGGAGATGAGCTTTGCAGAGGAGGCCACAGGCTAACCCAGGCTGGGTGACGAGGGTTGAGCAGGAGCCTGCCAGCTGAAGAGAGGCTGGAGGGAGAGTAAACAGATCGCCTTCACTGAAAAGATGAAAGTGATACTAAATCAGGATCGCCCTGGAACATTGCTGCCACCCAGGCGCACAGTATTGTGACCAATCGTTTCTCAGAGACATGGTTTGTGAACAAGAAGAGCAAAAGCATGATGTCTCCTTGACGAGCACGGCTCCCAGAGTCCTTTTTCGGAGTGTTCATTCTAGCCCCACAGTTCTAACCTAGGACAAGTAATTTCATTCCTCTGCACCTCCCTTCCTTCAAATGTTAAAATAGAATCGCACTCCTGCCCACTTCCTGGGGTTGCTGGGAGAACTAAATGCTATGACTGCATTACCCAGAGTCCCTGCTCCATAAATATTAGCTCTGATCATGGCTATCTGTCTCTCCGACTTCCAATGCTGTAAGAGCCTTAGATCCATACCCACTTGTATCACCAGCTCACAGGTTAAGCAAGTGTCTGACGAGTCAAATTGAACAGGAAAGTGGCACATCGCATGGCATGAAGGAAAGGAATGCTGTTCCTTGAACTCGCCTGCACCTGACCTTGCCTCTTGCCCTCCTGGGTTAATGCTTCTGCCTGTGCCTTGGGTCCCAGACACGCTCACCTTCTCAAGAACTGCGCTTTTTTTTTATGCCTCTCTTTCCTTATCTTTGGCTTTTCCGTAGATCCTTTCCCTCTGCATTTTAACATGCCCAGAGGTTTCCCACTTAAACACGAATGAAACAACTCACCCTTTCACCCCACTGCCCTCTCCGGTTTTCTTCCAGTTTCTAAACTTCCGTTGTCAGCCAAACTTCTTCT